GTTTTGTTTATTAGATTGTTACCGCGGGGAAGTTGTTTCCCTCCGTCGCATCTCTTAGAACACCGCTTTAACGAGCACTACAGGAAACACACAGAGAGAGCTTTTCCTCTCGGTCGATCTCGTAATGAAAGAGAGACGCTCAAGAGAGGACGTGTTTTTACAAGAAAATATTCTCTTCGCGATATAAAATATTTATGTGCAATTTATTTCAATTATGATTACAGAGGTGTATAAACATTATTTTTTATCAGAAAAAGAGCGCGAACAAATTTTTTTTTTTTTTTTTTAATTTAAATCTAAAGTACAATCTCCGCGTGCAAATAATTGAATAAGAATTCTGATTGTTTGTTTAATTTAATTTGATGTGTCAGTACTGTCGACGGAGTATCCCCGATTCATCCTCGTGTTTCCCGGGTTAAATGCAGAACGCGAAGCGCTCTTCCCGCTAAAATAGCGAAATCGCGTGTCATCGCGATGAAATTTAGCCGAAAGGTTGGGACGAAGTCAGTTTCGTTTGTGTGACCTAGAACCCGATATTCTCCCTCTCAATCTAGGCGAACCCCCACAGCCGGGGTGACGCTGGAATCGATGAGGCCGTTATATCATCCGGTAAACGGTTTCAACCGGAAGCAACGCGATTTCGCATCGATAAGACGTAGCCTTGCCGTGAGCGCTTGCGAGACATCGCAGCGACTGCTCGCCGATATATAATATCTAACTATGCGTGATCGCACTTAAAGGAATTACCGGGGGGTCGGCCCATTCATTTACGCCGAGAGAACAAGGTTATCGCGTTTCTCCAGAAACTTCTGAGTCGCGAAATACTTCGAAATCGATTTAATCCGCTTTCGGGATAGGGCACCCTAGCCTGGGTACAGCCCCGGCGCTTTAATCGCGAGGGAAGAAATTGCGGCTTGATATGCACGACGGACTTGAACGCAGTTTGTGGTCGACGACTAGTAGTTTTTTTCTACAAAGTCTAAGGTCGAAGATTGTATCCTTTCAATCGATCAACCGGAAATGTGTTTACACACACAAATTATTTGTGCGGTTTTTCACAAATCTCTCAATCAGAAGAACGTACGTCACGTGTAATATAATGTTAATTCACGTCAATATTTTTCGCGTTGATTTTGATTAATTACCATTAATCGATTGATTACAATTCTGTTCCGTGTTCGATTGTAGCACACGTATGTGCTTCACATTAATTCCGCGGATATAGCATTTCGCGCAATGCAATTATCGAGCGGAGAAAGAATACGAATAACGCCGGCGCATATTTCGATAATCGCGCGCGATCTCACCAATTTCATCGATGACAATAGACGCATATTCCCGAGCGCAAAATGCATTGTGTCCAGATCCTTTTCCCATCTGGACGACGATTTCGCGAAAGCTCGCGCGCGCGCGAAAGCGCGATCGATAAGCAAAATGCTCGGCGAAACCTCCTCGCGTGCAATCGGCCGGGTAATCTGCCACCGGTTAGATATGCTTGAATGGCTGCAACGTGGGTGTCCTTGATAGTTTAGAATAAAAGGATCAAGCGCGGAAAAATAGCGCTTTCGCGATACGGAGTATCTGATTACGGAAACTCTGTGTTTTTTTATTAAAGTTACAGCGTCGTATTTGGGAGATTAAATATCCGTGTCAACTCGGAAAATTGCACACGGAAAATCTCTAAGGATCTCAGGAAACTCATATCTGTGAATACTTTAGAACTTTTATCGTACGAAAACGAGAACACGTCGAAAATAATCAGACTTTTTTGAGAGCGAAGATTTTTTCTTAGATGTACGTGTGTCGCAAAATTTCAATGCGGTGAAAAATTGCGCATTTTTCTTTTAAAACACAGACATACACACGGTTTGTGTGTATATACAAATTTAATTATCATTTACCGAGATACGTTGTAATTATATACGCGTTCATTGAAAATTCTCTTTGTTTCGAAAGTCGCATACACGCTGCGAGAGATTATTTATTTTTAAAAAAAAGATTTGAAAATTTAATTTACTATTAAAAAAAAAAAAAAAAAATTGAACGTCGAGTAAGTCGAGCTCGACTTTAAACTGTAACCTGATGAAGGTCGTCTTTGCGAAGCCCCGCGCTTTGATATAGATCACTCAGAGTTTCGCAAATATTTGGCAGAATTTCTTGGCGACTATTTGCAAACCAAGCCGATTCGCTAAAAGCAAATGGCATATCGGTACAGTCTCGCGTAACAGTCGCGCATCAGTAAACAAAAATTTTCAAAACGTCGTAGTTCTCAATATCATCTCCTCAAACGATTTTCTTTATACCAATGTGAAGAATTTACTTTGATTCCGCAAGAGAATCTTCTGTATTACACAACGGCGACTGGAAATGCTACGTGAACGTTTTGCCGTTTCAGAAAATGTAGAAAAATATAAATTAATTTTTTGCGAAGTTCTTTTAAACGCAGGAAACGTTTTTTTTTTTTTTTTTTTTAAATTAAAGAGAAAACCGACCGAGCTGCTGTGAAAGGAAAGAGAGAGGATCAAATACGGCATTAGCGAATGTTGTAATTATTATAGTTTGAAATATCTCATCTCTAGTTTCATTTCGAGTCGCGTTTGTATTCGTGCTGCGAGAGATTTTCTCGTATTGTTACCTTGCGAACCGAAGTTCGATGGAACTGCAGCTGCTATCGGATCGAGCTTCCGGCTGTACCGCGAAGTAATCACGGGTTGTGACAAAACTTGTTTCGAAGAATCGAAATTGCTCCTCGGCACTACCGACTATGCGGAATTGAAATTGCACGTACGATCGCAATGGCAAAGATGTTTCATGTTTAACGTATGTGTCCGGTTAATTCTCCAATTCACGGCGGCGATTATTGCCACGTGATTTAAATAATTCGTTCAATATTCCTCATTATCCGATGAGTAATTGCATCGAACAATTACGTTTTCTCTCTCTCTCTCTCTCTCTCTCTCTCTCTCCCCTCTCTCTCTTTCTCTCTCCCTCTCTCTTGCTCTTGCAAGGATGCGAAATAAATTCACATTTGCAGTGAAATACAACACGCATTCTTCCTCGATTATACTGTTCCGCCCACTATCGCTTGGAATAATTTATGCGCACGCTCACGTGTATTAATTAATGCGATTTACGTACCGCATAACTACACGGTCCTTAATACCGAGAATTATTTCATATATATATGTGTGTGTGTGAATTAACATTCCTAAGAGAGCGCGAGTTGGTTTTTCGCTCGCGACCGCGAATTAAAAAATCCATGAAAATTTTCTGTGTGAGGGAAACGTTTTGATGTTGAAATTCTATTTCGCCAGTTTTTTTTTTTTTTTTAATAAAAACCCGCGGCGGGTAGGGTAATATCGGACGGTAAAGAGAAAATGTCGTTTGAGAAACGACCCGTATTACCGTTGTTTACTGTCGCGGGAGATCATTCTTCCCGCGCTGTGATTGTCGCAGATTTTTAAGTAGACAATAAAACGGTATCGCGTCGGCACTTAAAGCGTTCGACCATTTTCTCATTTATACGTCACAACTGCTTTTGCAGCTCGCCTTAAAGGGGGGAATGCAGTCGAATGGTTTTCGCTGCAGTGCGCCTATTGTCTCTATTGTCTCCGATGCCGGCTATTGTTGCGAGCTTGTATCGAATTCTTGCCCGTACATGTGACGCTGTGCGAGCCAATTACACACGCGCTACACCCCTCCAAGCAAAAGCTTTGGCCGTACACGCGGCGGAAACTACGTCTTCGTGCACGGACGCTTTAATCCATGAATTTCACGACGGACATGGGGCAGCAATTGCGGAAACTATAAATGTTCCCCTCCCCCCCTCCGCCGTTAACACAGAGAAATAGATCACGTGGTAGAGATATGTCGATACCACGTGATTCTATCTCGCGCCGACTAGAAGCGAATTACGACCGATTCGCGTTAATCGAATTTGCGGAGGAAATCGATGCTCTCGTCCGAACATGAGTTCATTTTTCTGCGGAAAAACTGGAATTTGCGCGCGCGCGCGCGCGCGAACAAATACCGCACATTCGAAGCCCGCTTCAAATTTACGCTTATCGATGCGATTCTTCCGGTTCTTGTTTGTCTTCTTGAGCACGCGATCGTTTTATGCAAATTTTCGTCCAGTCGTCGTCGAAAACGTTGGTCGGAGTTCAAATCACAAATTTACGTCGTTACTCGCGAATTGTCGTGCAAATGTCTCGTAGTTCCGGTCACATTCTATTATTTATCTCACAAACACTGGCCCCGGTTTAACCTTTTCACGTTTACAGAAAGTTACATTGTACGCCAACTAACTTCGTTGCCTTGTACAGAGAACAATGCTCAATATTTTTTTTTGTATTTTAGACCAAGGTTTTTTCCTACGTATGTGAATTGTTTTTTATTCCTTGATAAATTTTCAACATTTTAACGATTTCAACATTTTGAAGTTTAATCGACTTCGTGATTGTTTGCGAACTGAAAATTGATTTTTCGATGTATTTGTTTCAATTAACTCTTTGAGTGTGTGTGTGTGTGTGCGAACGAAAAAATTGCATAGGTGCTACAATATTTAGCAAACATTTTTTTTTAATGTTTACTAGAGTTACAAACGACAAGCAAAATCTGTTTTGTACATTTTAATCTCGGTGATCCGGTGAGTTAGTCTTTGATCTCACAGAGAGCAACGCGCGCGCGCGCGCGCGCGCTCGCGTGTAGTGTTGAAAGCATTTATCAACTGTCAAAAATATTCATGTCAAATGTCTGTTTTAAAAACTGACTAAAAAGTTTCTATGACGCAGAAACGAAGTTCAAAAATCCAAACGGAATAATTTTAACCAGTGATAAAACACGCGATAGCTATTTATAGATTTTTTTTTATGACACTCACTATTGTGTTAATAATTATCGATAAAAAAAAAAACTTCAAAGAACAATGTAAAAATGGCTCCAAGTGCTCCAAGTTGAAATAATTGTTGTCACAAGTGTTGAATGAAATCATTGATTTTCAGCTTATTGACATTTTAAGCGACACGATCGCGTAAGTGAAGTCGAACGCGCGATGCAGCCGAGAAAAAAGAAGAGCCGCGAACGGCGCGTTACGATCTGACGAAGAGAAAACGTTTTTCACGTGGAATTACGACGGAGCACCTTTCCGTTCTCGATATAAATTTGACACCCAACCTACTTCGTCTCGCTAAAAGTCTAGACAGACGGAGGTTTATAATCCGGACGGATTAACTGTCCGCGAATAAATTTTCCGACAACCTGCGTCACGCTTTTTTCTCCAACGTTATTATCACCATCGTTCGTTCTCACCTCGGGGAGAGAGGGGTCCGTTTTATTATCCTCTCATAATTCCAACTTCTAACAGTTCTCGACGCAGCTTTTCTATTCTCGGTCGAAATTAACGAATCTCCAGAAATGGATGAGGACGACACCGAGGACGTACGTGACGCGGTCACGCTGATGAATCGGCTCTCAACGAAGGTTACCTCTTCCTCCGCAAAGTTTACATCCACAATCAGTAAACGAGTTCTGCGAACGCAGGAATCGGCCGAGGATTCGGACACGATGGAATGCGCATCCGAGAACGAAGTGGAGAACTTGCCTAAGGACGACGATAATACATCATCGATCCGAACGCGTGACAGAACATATGAAAGAAGCCGTTATTCGCTCGACGTGCCAGACGAAATGGAATCTTTGATAGCGCGCAGAAAGATGATGTCGTCGCTTCACGTTAGCGACGAATCCAAGTCGTACGGCTCGTCAAGACTCGGTTTCTTTATGTCGACCAGTCGCAGCCCGCAGTCGAGCTCAAGTCAGGAGGAGTACGAGCCCGAGATAAAGAGCATCTCGAGGCTGCAGATGCAACAGCAACGCCAGCAGCAGCAGCAACAACAGCAGCAACAACAACAACAACAACAACAACAGCAGCAGCAACAGCAGCATCTGTTAACGGCAGGCGGAGGCCAGGTGATCGCCAGATCGATGGAGAGTCTGCGATTGTCGCGGAATTTTTTGAGTGCGGACGATCGCTACAGCGAAGATTCCAAGTCGATGGAATCGCTGTCGTCGTCCTCGGAGACGCACGTCGGTTCGTCCAGAAGTCACTACAGGAGCTTTCTTACGTCGTCAACGAAAGACATGCGCAGGGTCGTTACGGTCGAGTCAAAGAGCAGCGACAATCTCCTTCATCGGGAAGAGAGTCTGAACGCCGAGGTGCGACGCGGTCTGTTCGCCAATACCGGTCTGGAGCGAAAGATACCGCAACATCTGAGTCTACCGCCGCCGACCAATGTGTTTTCGCTGACCAGCCCGGGCGGGAGCGATCGAAAGATCACGATTCTGAGCCCGCACTCGCCCGTGCAAACGTCCGAGTTCCAATTCTCCACGCAGACGCTCAAGAACCGGCGCAAGAAGGCCATCGTATTGCCGAGGTTGGTGTTGCCCCGAAGCGAATCCGAGGTCTTTCTAGAGTGAGTAGTTGAATGATCGAATTTCCTGGTCTATTGTGTTTTCGGTGGTCGTTCGTTCGTTCGTTCGTTATCCGTCGCTCGAGGCGATCGCGCTAGTTTTACGGTTCATCGCGTAAAACGCGCACATACGCCGCGCGCCGAATTGTAAAAATCATCGAAGCGAAGCGAAAAAACCCGGAGAGATGGATTTTTGAAATTTTTTTTTTCTGTTTTTTGTTTTTTTTTTATTGACGAAAATCCAGCAACCAGCCGGCAAAGGTTAATCGATAGCGGGATGTATCGCATTATAACAAAACCAAAGGGAAAACCGCGCGTACTAACGTAATTATACGGGCGACTCGATTTCGCGGATACACGCGGATATATATATATATATATAATTTATAGTGTGTAACGCAACACTCCAATCCACCGGGATGGCAACGATCATTGCAGACACGCGGAATGATTATTTCATTATGATTATTAAATTGAATTTGGTATATCGAGTATATATATATATATATATATAAACTATGTCACACACGGATTCACGTGTGTGCGGAACGCGTATATAGCTTCGCGGCTGCAATAGAATTATTACACCGATCCTCTATCCGCATTGTATATGCAGCACAGATCGAACGGAAGACCTTGAATGATTTAGTCGCAGAAATGCATTGCTCGCGAAAACTATTTCGAGGTTTTAAAATAAAACGTTTTTGTGTTTGCGCGCGATAAGTTCGAGAATTTTAGATACTCCGTTTAAAAAAAAAAAAAAAAAAAAAAAATGCGCTTGAGATCGGCGGAAGCAACGTTAGAATAAAACAATTTTTTTCTTTGCCGCTTTCTTGCGACCAAAAGAAAACATTGCGAAATCGAGTCCGGATAAATAATATAATTTTAACAAGAGAAATAATCTCTTTCTCTATCTCTCTCGCGTAATTTATCTTGAAACTTTTTCGTTCGGAGATGACGGAGAGAGGTGTGCCGCCTAAAGAACGCAATCAGACGGTTGATGTTTTTCCGCGAAACTTTTCGACGAAGCGCGAGCATTGCGGTTTTCCGGACGATTAATGTAATTGTTCTTGTTGTTTGTTAAGATAGTAGAGACGAGAACATTTTGCGGCAAAACCTGTTTCCTTTGTGATGCAAAAGTGTGTTCGTTTCTGGCTTTGCTTAGAATTAATTAGATGCCCTTTGATCGGACCACCACGTGCGGGATCGCGGTCGAAACCTGTGTTTTGTTTGTGCTTGTATTATTTCACGCTGTATTATCTCTTCAGCATCTCTCTGTGTAAAACGCGCTTCTATAAATATTATATTTCGCTTATTATGTATTGCTTATTATGTATGCATATATATTACACGTTTAATATCGCGTAACACTGGTGTTATAATAAATCTGTCACGCATGATCACACGATTGAATTGAGAGACGTGCGTTATACTTTATTTATATAACGTAAATTGGACGCGCTTGAGAGAAGAACATATATTAGATTATTTAAATATTGTTGGAAAGTACGTGGCGTATATCAATGAAATAATTTTTACAAAAATGCATATGAGAAACTTGCGTTTTTTATATACAGGATGTCTGAGAAATTTTGACCAAGTCGAAGGTAGATTGGATTAATCTGAATCGAAAACTCATGTACCGCGCGTTTAGCAAAATTTGCAACAGCAAATCGAGCAATTAAGTAACATATTGTGAAGCGCGTGGGAAGCGATCCAGATTCTGTAGGCGTGCGTGAGTTGCAAAGAAAAATAGCTTATTTTTTATGCAATCTACCAACAGCAAGAGGTGGAGCAAACAAACGAGCGTGTGACACAGCGATCAGCTGATCCTCACACAACACTGAACATTATTTACGCCTACGGGGGGTGCGAATCATCGCTTCCCACGCGCTCAAATTGTGGGTCACATATATTAAATTAATCGCTCGATAACTATGCGAATCTTGCAAAATAATACATGACCTTTCGGTTAGGACCAATCCGATCTACCCTCACACTTCGGCTCGGTCAGAATTTTTCAGACACTCCGTATATTGCGTTTTATATATATATATATTAGATCTACCGGAAAGTTCTGTCCGTTTTTGGAATAAAACAAAATACAAATTTTTCTTAATTTTTCAAAAATGGGATATACAAATTGCTCTCACGCTGGCAAGAAATCATTAATAATAATGGCAATTATATTATTTAAT